TGCGGCGGGGAGGTGGGAGTAATGGAGAGGCTAATTACAGACCATCTATTTCAGGCCTTTCGCGTACAATGCCACTGAAGATTGAATCAATGTTAAAGCAGCTAGCAATAGGAGGGTTCTAATTGTCTCTACTGTACCTAATTTAGGTTCAGTGTTACAAGGCCTGTGGATTTTCTGCTCTCTATGAAGGCTTGATCCCAAACCTATTAGAATCAATGAAAGATGCCTTGTGTGGCTGCTTAGGGAATTTCTGTCTTACAGTGCTTTCCAGCAGAAGGCTTAGAGTGAGATTTTGGTATCCTACCACTCCGCCTTGTAGTCCCCTCACCTGGGAGTGAAATAATGTTTTTCCCAAATACTCCTCAGAGCCATTCTTCGTAGGTTTGCCGTAAAGGAAAGGAAACCATTCAGACTCTCGTGGAGTTGACTTGTTTTTCCAAAACCTGGATGAAAATTGGAGTAATTTCTACAATAACTTTTATGTTTTCAGAACAGCTTTCTGTAGAATCATAGAATCATTAAGGTTGGAAAAGACCTGTAAGATCCTGAAGTCCAACCATCAACCCATCACCACCATGCCTACTAAACCGTGTCCTGGAGTGCCATATCTCTGCGTTTTTTGAACACCTACATGTTTTTTGAATGCCTAAAGATGTAGATTCCTCAGAAGTTTTTTCTTCTGCCCGTGGCCCTGGGATCAGGATTTAGGTAAATTGGTGTTGGAATTCAACGCTCATATATACAAATCAAGAGCGAGGTCCCTTTCCTTATCTCAGTGGAAAAAGTATTGCCTAGGAAGCGGTAGGAAAGCAAAGATTACTGTAAGCTTCTCAGTAAATGATTTTTTTTTAAAATGATTTTAAAGGTTTTTAAAAACTTTTTTTTTTTTTTTTTTGACGGGGGGTGACTTGGTCAAAAATGCTGTGACCCATTTTTGGTGTGGTTGGCTTCTACCAGACAATGGTGGTGTGATTTTTATGATCACCCTGTTGTCATACAGAGCCATGTGTCACTGGGCTTCCAGCTACATAATCAATGAAAGCTGTACCTGTCCTTAACATATGATGACCTGGAGATGATAAAACATCATCGTGAACTTGAAGCTTGAGTATTGTAATTTCCTTTTTACTGGTTATCTGTGATGGTGATACATCACTGCATTTTTTTTTTTCCCCATGAATGCCAAGGATGCATTTACTCACATTTGGCCTGCTTTTTGTTCTTTACATTGTCTACTTATAAGTGATAGATTTGGTTTATGTTAGCACTGTAGCTTTACAAAACTCGAAATGGGACTGCTGTGATTCTGTTTGCAGCAGTATGTTATTTGCTCTCCTGACATTTGCTTCATTTAATTCTTCTTTCCTTAAAAACAAACAAACCTTAAAACCATTTTCTTTCTTCCAGGAGTGTTTCTAAATTACCTCCTTCATTATTCACATTTATCCGTTTTTTATAGTTGAGGTCAGCATTTCTTAGAGCTACGGGTGGATTTTTAGGCTTGCTTTTCCCCACCCTGAGGCTGTTATGGGAGAAACTTTATAAGTGAAAAAGCCATTTCTGTTTGTGCGTTGCACCAAGACCCAGCAGACGTGAGACTGCCAAGCCCCTGAGGCAGCGGGGCCCTTCCTTGTGGCCTCCCCTCCCACTGGGGCTCCGGGTGCCGACTGCGGAGCCTTTCTGATGCTCTTCACCTGCCTTTGTGCTGGAGGATTTGTGCCACCACCTTGTTCTATGCAGCTTTCTGCCTCTGGTAAGGACTCGTGGGAGGTGTTGCTGCGTGGGCTGTACCTCGGCCCCACTCTGCCCATATACACAGCCATGGGCAGCAAACCGGAGGCTTCAAAGAGACCCCCTCAGCCCTTTCCTTAAACTTTGCACTGAAGACCATCTTGGCGTTGGTTTCGATGCAGAGCTGATGTTTCATCATTGCAGTTTCAGCACCTGTCGAGATGGGCAGGAGCTCACTCCTCTCTGTGTTCAGCCTGTGGCTGCGAATCGGAGATGGCTCGCTCCCGGTGCAGATCTCCCAGCCTACTTGCAGTTCTCCCTGAACCCCTCTTGCACCAATTTGTCATGTGTCATCCTGATTCTGTGAGGCTGCCTGCGCAGGTGATTTTGCCGCCGGTGGAGCTCTGAACAGGCACGGGTCTGGTTGCGAGATGAGGACCCTACTTTATTTGTAGCTGATGTTTTCAAATAAATATCAGTTAGTTTTCTGCATACAGATATTTTGAATTTACTGCAGGAATACAGTATCACTCAAGCTGAGATAATATAACCACTGAAGCTTGTAAACTGTGTTGTTAATTAGACCATGTGTTTTTGATGGACTTTTTAAAGCTATTAAAATTTACATGTTGAGGATTGAAATAATTAGTTCTCTTTCACGTGTTTGACAGAATTGTGAATGGCATTTTGAATTTCTTTCTTACGGTTGAGTTGCTTTGAAATGTACCAAGAACGAGAATCTGTATATTCTTCAGTGATGTGGTTGCCATGCGCTTGTTGAATATACATACCTTTCCACCCCCACTCACCCCGAATCAAAAAGTTTCCATGGCTGTGAGGAGAGTGGCTTGCATTTTAAGTTAACGTGTAAATTCAAGAGCACACTTTGCTGAAGAACAAAAGGAGGACAGTTCCCCATTTACCCAGGCTGTAAAATAGCTCTTCTGGGGAGCAAGGGTGTAATTCCTGGCAAGTAATGACATAAAATCCTCCCCTTACCTGATACTCTTGCAGATAACACAGAATGTCAGCATCTGTTAGAGAACAGTTATTTCAAGCCCTGCATGTGTTTGTAAAACAAAGAGAAAAGGTAAAAGGAAGAATCTGTGCTTAATAATTTAGAAAACAAATAATTTTGTTCTGTTTCTGATCTTCATTTGTAGCACCAGCAACAAGTGGTGCAGGCTGTGGAGCGTGCCAAGCAAGTGACCATGGCAGAACTGAACGCAATCATTGGGGTATGTGGTCTTTCCATTTTAGCTCTAATGGTGTTTGTAAATAGCTTTCCGTTTTCTTTCTCTCTTGTGTGAACTCATTTCCATCAGGTGGTCAAAAGTTGTGGACAGTGGTGAAGTTCAGTCGCTTGATCTTCATAAAAGCTGGTTGCTACCTAAAAAACATTTGCTTGCACTGTGCTGTGAAGACTAACGGGGTAGTCAATGTCTGTGTTGTACATATTCCCCAAAGCTGGGTCAACATCTGCTTTTTTGTTGTCCTTTTTAAGTAACTTTGCTTCCTTTGCATACTGTGTGCCAGTCTGCTTCTGCAGCCACGGCAAGAGCTGGACTCCGTATGACACGCAGCGTGTTAGGAGGATTTTTCCCATTCCCGCTGCCACATCTTTTTCTGGGTGGTGGCTCAAGACTCTGAATATTCACCACACTTTCTATTTTTACATTAAAAAATAGCCATTACCTTTTTTAAAAGCAAAGCCCAGACAACCAGAATCGATAGTGAAATGAACCGTCACCAGTGTGCTTGTAGGCGCCCTACTCCCCATCATCAAAAAATGCGGCCTGTGGAGCCCCTCTCGCAGAAGCTTTACTGCCGGCGGTGCTAGCCCAATGTAGCAGCCCTGCGAGGTTTTATGCGTGTGGGCAGCCACAGTGTTTACATTTTGCAGCTGGAGAGGAGAGGCATAACAACGAAAGCCGTGGCTGTTCACACTACGTAAAATAAAGGTGAGAAGTCATAGCTTAATAGCACATTATTCACATGTATAATTATGCAGCTGGTGCAAGCAGTTGTTTAAGTTATTCTAATGAAGACACTACAACTGTACTTCCCATCTTCTGCACCCTCCCAAATGCTTTTTCTTTTGTGTATAGATTATACATAAAAGTCTTTTCCTGTTTTTTATTCAATGTATCAAACACACTTTGAAATGCTAATTATTCCATTTACTTTCATTAAAATTCAAATTGCTGAGTGAAGATGTGGATAAGGGTCGCCGAATAATCAATCTGAAGTGAAGATATTGCTTCAATTATGCCTCTGTCTTCTAACAAGGAAATCAGGACTCTCTGATCATTGCTGACGGTCGTGTAGAGCAGTGGTCTGATTGTAGCTTGTTTTTAATAGGTTGTTTCTAACTCTATTTTGTGTCCCTCTGACCACAAGAACACACTGGTAGTCAATTAGAAGATACAAATGGAAAAGAGTAACCTTTATTTCCTCTGAAGTGCCCGCTGGAAAGAAGGAGGTGAATCAGAGCGAGTCCTGTAGAATCATGAATAACATTTGTTGTACGTCTTTTACGCTCCAGTGGGGAGAGTGGGAGATGAATAATTTCCCAATTAGTTTTCATTACCTAACCAAAAATATTGCCTTCTGTTAACATTCTTTGTATAAAGTAAGTAGCTAAAGGTTGGCTTCTTTGTTAAAGAAGTTTTTATGTATGTGTGCTGCATGTGGGTAGGTAGCATGTGTCTACATGTGCATGTACTGTCTTCTGTGTGTGTATGTGCACACGTGTGCATATGGATACTTTTCAGTCTTACTTGTGTACGTTTTTGCCATTCACCTTTGTATGCAGTGGGGAGAATGCAAAAAGCAGTTTGCTTCCTAACAAAGAATGAGTTGATTGATGTAGAACATGCGATGTTGTAGATAGTGGCTGTTGTGCTTATTATTAAAGTTTATCCTGCTTTTGTGAACCACTAAACCAGACAGAATAAATGCAAACAGACTAGACGCTTGTTGGGGAGCCTGGCAGTAACTTCTGCTGATCTTCGCCCACCAGACAGAAGTAAATTTTCTGTTTTGATTGTTACTGTCTGAATTTATCTCTTCAAGTCAGTTGAAATTCTACTGCCTCAAATTTTTGTGATATCTGAATTTTGGTTTTGTGCGTTAAAATGGGACAGCTCTCACCTTCCTCACGAGACTGATTTTTAGCTTGCTCTGCTGCCTTTTTTCACTCTCCTGTTTTGTGTTGACTTAGGAAATGCTGTGTGGCCTGCTCTTTAGTTTTTGAGAACAGGAGCAATACAGACTGAAAATTTTGTGTTCGTTGATCTAAAGAGAAGTGATCTAGTGCAATCTTGTAAGAGAGTCATTATAAATTGAATAAATAGGGTAGCAAGTTATCAAAATAGCTTAAGTTCTAGTTGCGTGAATACCAACAATAGTGTTAGGTCTGCACTTAGAGAGATGGAGAGTCTGAAAATGTAGCGTGGGACTTAAAAAGGCTTGCCATACTTTGTAAAGTGAATACTGATAAAACAAAGAAAGTAATTAGAAATCATGGCTTTTCTGTATCTGTAATTATGTTGTCTTACATTATTTTGCAGTTTGGTAAGTCTGACAGAGTTTATGTTCTTTTAACCCTGTGATATTTTAAAAGCTTCTGAAGTTCGTTTGCTCTTTGCAGTTTTTGAGAATACAGCTTTTACTTACCAGTTGAGCTGTGCATCAGATGAAGACAGAAGCAGTATTTGAGTTTTTGAAATTCAGCTGTGGCTTAAGTTTCTCTGTGCTTTGAGGGGCCCTGTTCAGTTCACCTCACTCATACTAAGCCCCTTTGGTTTGAATGGAGGAACCCTGGGTTTGAGTTTTGAATTGATTTTACCAGAGTGGAGGATAGCACAAGAAAAGAATTGAATGTGCAGAAATCATGTCTCTCTTTGTGTTTCCCGTGTATATATTTTTGTATGAATGTGCTCTGATTTAATGGAATCTGATGAAGCGCCTTTTAACTTTGCAAGATTATTCTGTCTTCATTGGTAAATGAACCAAATCACTGATCCATGCAGTTTAAATGCAAGATACTGAAGTGAGCCTGGAACCCGGAGAGACTGCTTGTTCTCCTGACAATAAACTAGTTGTGTTTAATGGAATGAAACACAGTTATAATGACTTCTTTCACAGGTCATGTTCAGTTTAAAACTGTTGACGGGCTAAAACAAGTTAAATATCATCTATCTTCTTCTGGAGAGATGCAGGGAGAAAAACTAAACCAAAACTAGATATCATAAACATGCTGCAGGAGGACTGTAAATCTCCAGGTGTCCGGCAGGCTCTGCATCTAAAGCTTACCATGGATGGTGTGGTACAGCATTCTTGCTCGGAGAGATTTGTAGTGCACATCCAGAGCTCCTTTCCGGGTTGGGTGTGCTGGGATGAGCAGTGTGAAGCATCCGGTTAAGCTTGTCATGTGTCATAGCTGCCGTGTTTTTAAGTTATAATCTTCAAGATCACACTGTTGGAACAATGCACAAATTGTAGCCTTTAATCAGTAGTATGATATAATTAGGAATGATGTTTTCATTTCCTGTATTATTAAATTGAGTCATCTAACTCTTCTTAAAATGTTTGGTTTTTTTTTTTTGTTGTTTTTTTTTTTTTAATCCATTATACTATATAATTGGAACATGCTGTGTGGATGTGGTTACGTTTTAATAAGGGAACCAAGGAATGAACTTGTAACTTTATAAGAATTTTTTCAGAGTCTTTTTTTTTTTTCTTCTCTGTTTAAAATAGTCAGTTTTCAACTGCAGCTGGGCAGTAGGGCAGAAATGGAGGCTACTGCTTGTGTGCCTGTGTATCACATGGAGAGAGATAAATGTACCAAAAACTTAAGAACAGGTATGTGATGGTGTTCAAAGAAAATGCAGTTTAGCACAAGAAATGCTGAACCTCAATTTTTAGCAGTGACATTTTAATGATAGGAAGTCTGCAAAATTATTTGCCATCAATTGTGAAGGCAATAACAAGCCTTGGTGGTTTTTCACACCCTCTGTGTTAAGTGCTTTCAGAATGACAGCGTAAACTGTGTTGGAGAACTCCAAGGAAGTAAAACTGATTAAAATGTTCATGCTTGAATGGTGCTGATGGAATAGTTCATTTGGACTTTCTCTACCTCCTGCAGCTCAAGCTGAAATATTAAAATTCAGTGGATTTAAATCTCTCTCCCCTCAGCTCAGGAAAAAAACATTACATTTTAATAGGTTTTAAACTCATAATTCATTGGTTTGGAGCAGCACTATTAAATCTATTTAAATATTACTTGTATTACTAAGGAAATGATTTAGATGATTTTTCCTTCACCATTCTGTACATCTGAGTGAAAAAAAAAATGGTTTTGGTTTAATTTTTAAGCATTTTGTTTTATTATGTCACTTTTATTATCTTCTTTAAAAAAATAAGCAAATGGCAGTTACTGGAAGAAAGAGTTCCTTCTGTATTGCCACGTATAATCGTCGAGCTGTGATGTTCCTTCCTTAATACACTGCCTGTCACAATTCCTAGCCTGTGTTTGAGGCTGAGGCGCTTGCTTGACCCATCTCACAAGGTGTGTAATTTCTGGTGGCTTTCAGGCGAGCAGTCGTTGTACGGCTGTGGGGAACAATGCCTGTTTAAAGAGCGTCAGTAACGCTGGTCGCAGGCTTGGGAGCCACTGAGAGCATCGTGCTGCAGATCGAGCACACGCGCGGGTCGTGACAGGGACTTGGCACTGGTGCACGTGCTGTCGTTGCCCTGTGGTCCGGGGCTCCTTCTGCCCAGCCCCGAGGTGCTTTTTTTTTTTGCGTGGGTTCCTTAGCGCAGGGAGGCATCTCCCGTTCCTGGCGGAGGGTGGGTTGTTTCTGCCTCCCGCACGGTGAGGGGGAGCGAGGGGCTTTTGGCTGAACCCGTGCAGCTGAAGTGGGGAACGCGTTAATTCCAGTTTGTATGGCGAAGTCATTCCTGCCGGATGCGTGCGTTTGGAGACGGGAGCTCTGGGGTGCCCAGGTACCAGCTTCAGAGACAGCCTTGCAGGTGAGGCCTAATTTAGATAAATCTCTTCCTGTGCAGCATTATCCTGATTTAAAGAAGCTGAAGGTGTGAGGCACATGATCTTTTTAGGGATTTTTGAGGGAATTGATTAGCAAGTAAGTAATTCCAGGTTCCATATTTACTGAAAAAAAAAATGCTCCGAGGACAGATTTTTTTAAATACTGTTGTTATACTTGGAATGGGC